AGTATCCTTGCAGGTGGAGACACGCGCTGGGCAGAAAAGCAGAGTGGGAGAAGGCGTGACTGGGGCCGGGGGAGACCAATGCCTCACTGATAGGATCAGGAGGCCTCTCTGGGGAGGTGACTCCTGAGCACAGAGGACATTGAACATGGGGTGGGAGCCAGGCCTGGAGACATCCGGGGGAGAATGAGTCCAAGAAGAGGGGCCTGCAAGCAAGTGATGGGAAATGCAGGGGCAGACTTGTCACAGTGCTGGGAGAGCACTGTCATGGCCACCACCTTACAGACTAAGAAACAGAGGGCCCAGGAGGTTAAGAGGCTTGCCAAGACCAGCAGCCAGGATTTGCTAGCTGAAGCCAGGCTGTCTGACTCAGAGAGATTACTTCCCGCTATCTCCCTATCATAGGACACACATAGATGCATGACCTTTATCCAAACCCTGGGGCAGCTGTGGGTGGAAATTCAGAAGCTTCCAATTTAAGAATGCTCACACAGTGCAGTATGGTATGGTCCGTCACACCCCCGGGGGATCTGGGACAGCACACAACAATTAAATATATTAACATAGCAGGACACAATTAGACATATTCATATTTCTGCAGCAAAACATACTAATCTTCACACTCAGAGGACCAAAAGAAGAATTGTTAACAGCCTCAGTTCAGGTGAAGTTTGCCACCAAATTCAGGTTAGTTACCAAAATAACAACAAACAACTTCTGGTTTTCGGAGCCTTTAGGATTTCCACTAAAGCTTGGGGGGCGCAGCGTTGCAACTTCTGGAAATGTCAGCTCTGTGAAGACAGGCTGCAGAGAGGCCAGCTGGGAGCGCCGTCGCCCACATTCGCATCTTCGCGAGGCCCAGACCAGGAATCGGCACAAACTTCCTCCTGGGCAAAGGAGCTCCCGGCAGCTCGGGAGCGGCCAGCACCGCGCGGGACAAGGTGATGCAGGAGTCCAGACCGCCTGGCCGGGTTCGAAAGGGCGTCCCGAGAGCCCAGCTTTACTAAATAGGCAGCAAAATGAAAGGTTCCATTCAGCTCTTCCTACTGGGCCCTTCCCCGCTGGGTTGGGTTTGAAAACACGGCCAGAGGCAGAGAAGTGAAAGACGGGAGACAGAAAAGCATCTCTCCTGACCAGTCCTGGTCCTCCTGCCCCGGTCCCTACAGAGACATGCAAACCAATGCTGAGCCCCCTCCCTGGGCTCCTCCTCTCACTCTGCCTTGGCCCCTCTCTCCTCTGCTCAGCCCCTGGGAAGGGTCAGAACCCGAGGGAGGCTGAAGGGGCGGGGCAGAGCTGCCAGGCGCAGAAACGTCATTTCTTCCTTCTGTCCCTCAGCCTGGCAAGAGGCAGTGGCGTCATCCCCACCCAAGGTCAGGTGCAAACCCGTGGTCCGGCGGCCTCCACTTCTGCCCCAAGCAGCTTAAAGATTCACTGAGAATCGGGGCTGGCCCCGTGGCCGAGTGGTTAGGTTTGCGCGCTCTGCTGTAGGCGGCCCAGTGTTTCGTTGGTTCGAGTCCTGGCTGCGGACATGGCACTGCTCATCGGACCACGCTGAGGCAGCGTCCCACATGCCACAACTAGAAGAACCCACAGCGAAGAATACACAACTATGTACCGGGGGGGCTTTGGGGAGAAAAAGGAAAAAAATAAAATCTTAAAAAAAAGATTCACTGAGAATCAAAATGCAGCAGAGGTAAGAAGGAAATGATACAAGCCCAGATTTTCCTTGGGAAATTGGGAAAGTAGCCAGTCATTCATTCATTCACTCCATTATTCTACAGAGGTTTGTTGAGCACCTACTATGTGCCAGGGGATTGGGATACATCTGTGAAGAAAACAACAAATGCCCTTGTCCTCACTGGAGAGGGAGTCAGACTTGGATTCAAAATATCACAATGTGCAAAGGTGATGGGTGCCTGGGGGGCGAACAGCGCAGGGCGAGGGAGACCAGGGTGCCTGGGGAAGGAACTGAGTTTTAAATAAGGTGTCAAATTGAGCAGAGTCAAGAAGGAGGAGCCATCCAGAGAGTCTGCGGGAGAGTGTTCCAGACAGAGGGCACAGCCAGGGCAAAGGCCTGGGGGAGCGATGTGCCTGGCAACTTCTAGTTCAGCACAGAGGCTGATGAGACCAGAGCTGAGTTATCAAAGGGGAGGAGGAGGAGAAAGTGTAGGGGCAGAATGCGCAGGCAGAATCACTCAGGGGCTTGTCACACAGGGCTTTGTCTTTCATTCTGAGCGAGAAAGGGAGAGTTGGAGAGTTTTGAGAAGAGCCCATCAGGGTGTTGGTTAGAAGAATCACTCTGGTATCTGCAGGGCTTGGGGATCATCAGACTTGGGGAACCAAGTTGAGCTCTAAGCTTCTGAGTAAAGAGGTCCACTATGATCCCAGGATTGTAAGACAATATGTATGGTTTGCACAGGAGCTGGGAGGGAGCCTGGAGAGCCCATGAGGAGGCTGCTGGAGTTCTGGTCTGCAGTAGCCAGGTGGTGGCACTGTGGACAGGGCGTAGGGCAGGAAACCCAGGCACTATTTCAAAAGTATAATCCAGATAGGAGACAGTGGATCAGTCTAAGGAAAGCAGCAAAGATGAGCCATAAACTTTCTGACCTGGGAAACTGGACTGTGGTGTATATTAATAAAACGCCCCAAATTAATAAACTGACATGAACACTCTTTAGATGCCCCATCCTCCAACCTCATGCTGTGTCAAGTCCGCCTCTTACACAAACCACCGTGCTGGGGAGCTCAGGCTAAGTTTGTTCTGGCTGCGTTTGAATTCTGGCTGTCTACAGATGAAAATGTATGGGGTTGTTATTTGTTGTGGGGGGTTTTCTTTAAAACATTTTTTTTTTTAAGATTTTATTTTTTTTCCTTTTTCTCCCCAAAGCCCCCCAGTACATAGCTGCATATTCTTAGTTGCGGGTCCTTCTGGTTGTGCCATGTGGGATGTCGCCTCAGCGTGGCTTGATGAGCAGTGCCATGTCTGCGCCGAGGATTCGAACTGACGAAACACTGGGCCATCTGCAGCGGAGTGTGCGGACATAACCACTCAGCCACGGGGCCAGCCCCCCTTTAAAACCTTTTTTTAAAAGTGGCACCACTCATTGAGACACACTGGGGTGGCATCCCACATGCCACAACTAGAAGGACCCACAACTGAGAATATACAACTATGTGCCAGGGGGCTTTGGGGAGAAAAAGAAAAAAAATAAAATCTTTAAAAAAAAAATCTTTCAATTGCATAAAATTTGCTATTTTAGCCATTTTCAAGCATACCATTCAGTGGCATTAATTGCACAAAGCTGTGCATGTCGTGCTTTTTTTATTAATTTCAATAAGCCTCGGTTTTCTCATCTGTTACGTGGGAATAATAACAAAAGCTGCCTTGAGGGCGACTGCAAGGATTAAACGGGATAATCCAAGTGAAACAGCTCAGTGCCCAGCATATAACTGACACTCAGCCAATGTTAGCTGTTTCCTACCTTATTGCCTCTCTCCTCCTCTGTGTCATCCCCAGTCACACTGGCCCTCATGGCATCCTCGTCACCTCTTGCTGGTTGGAGACTCCTCTCCTCCCCCCACAGAGCCACCAGACCCATCTTCCCAAGGGCAACATCAGATCCAGTCCAGCCTCTTGCTCAAAACTCCTCAGGACTCGCCACCATCGTAATGGTCAGTGTCTCTCTAACTTGCCCCAGAGTCACCTGAAGGGCGTTTTAAACCACAGATTGCTGGGCACCCCGCCCTCCCCCCGGAATCTCTTGACTCAGCAGTGCTGGGGGGAGCCTGAGAATTTGCATTTTTCACAAGTTCTCAGGTGATGCTCCGGGGACCCCACTTTGAGAACCACTGAGCTGAGGGATAAGGTACACAGCATCTGACCCCCTCTCTCCACTCCCCCACTGCCACCCCTGCCCCATCCGGAGCCCCCTCGCACATCGGCCTCGTTCTGCGCTCTCTCCCCCACAGTTCATTCGTAACACAGCAGCAGGAGGGGTTCTTTGAAGACGGAAATCAGCCCATGTTCTTCCTCTGCCTAACGTCCTCATGGTGTCCGTGCTCATTTCAGATAAAACCCACAGGCCCTGCCATCTCCCCCAGGGGCCTGTGATCCGGCCCCCTACCGCCTCTGCCTGCCCTCCTCGCCTCTCCCCTGCACACACCTGCAGATGCTCTTCTCTGTCCCAGATATTCCCCTGGCCCCTCTCTCACCTCCTTCAGATCTCTTCTGGAATGCCCTGCCTAACCTAAAATAGCAACTTCTTTCCTCTCCCTTCCTCCTCTTCAGCTCCTTAACCTGCTTCACATTTCTTTATAAGATGGTGCCATTCCCTGAAATTATCTTGCTCATTTACTTGTTTCCTGGATTATTGTCCATCCCTCCCCCATCATTAGAAGGTAAGACCATAAGGGCAAGGATTGACTGTTGATCAATATATACTGTCAGTGCCCACAATGATGAGAGCACGTAGGAGGTGCTCAATAAATGTTTGTTGAATGAATAAATGACATCCTAACTCCTTAGCATGGCACATAGTCTCTCCGTGATCTGACCTCTGACCACTTTTCAGGCCAGATTTCTTGTCCATCTCTCTGAGAACACTCCAACCATACTCAACACTTGTGGGTGACCCAATTGTTGACACCTCCAAGCCATTGGACAGGCCATTCTGTTTGTCTGGAATGCCCTTCCCTACTCATCTGTGTAGGGACGACTTACTCATATTTCCAGATTCAGCTCGAGCACAGCCTCCCCATAAAGCCTTCCCAGGCTCCCAGAGGCCGCCTGCCCTCTTGCTCCTTTGTCTGGTACCTCCCCTGCCCCGGCCCCACACCTTGTATCTCATTTAGATACTTGTCTATCTGTGTCCTCCTCAAGCCACTAAAGGGCAAGCCAGGGTCTCCTTCATCTTGTATCTGGGGGGGCTGGCACAGGGCCTGGTACCCATATACCCAGGGAGTGTTGGTCAAATTGGGGAAAGAATTAGTGGAAACCAACCAAATCTCTTGAGTTTAGATTTTCTTAATACTACTCTTAAAATTACAAAAGTAATACACGCTAATTATTTCTCATGAAAATACCCAAGTATATACAAGGAAAGGTAAAGTTCCTAATTTTCCAGGACTCTCTGGAGCTGCTCCTGACCCCCAAGCACTTCCGCCCAGGCGGCAGGCCAGAAAGTACAGGGAGTGGCGCCAGCCCAGCATCTCACCAGCTTCCCAGCAGGGTCCCATGGTGGGGCCGAGCAGAGGCGGGAACGGGCACCACCAGGAGAGGAGGGGGGTTGACTCGGCTGACCCCAGGGTCAACCTCTCCCCTCTACGAGAAACTTGGGATGACTTCTGCCTTCTTCTCCTCCTCCAGTTGAGAGAATGTGTGCCTGGTGCTTTCTTACTGCTTCAGAGCTGCCCAGGTTGGCATTTCCCAGAGAAGCTGGTAACATTAGTATCAGTGAAATGGATTTGTTGAACGTTCAATCTTTTTTTTGTTTTTCCTCTTTCCTGTTTTTGGCCTTATCAGAAACTCCAAAAATAAACAGATTCTTTCTCAAGCCGGACCCTCACCATAGTCTTGGTGTTCTCCTTCTGCAGAAATCAAATGTGACAGCAGAAGCTCCCTCAGAGCCTGGCCCACACAGCTCGCCTCCAAGCGAGTCTGTCCTTCTGGTTGGCGTGGGTGGACCAGCCAACTTACAGTTCAAAAGTTGGCATCTCGTATAACTTTACTACAGAGAAAAGATGCGCTGGTTGGCAGACATGAGTCTCTGGATTGCTAGAAAATTGTATTCCTCATTGGAAAGTGTGATTTTTAAAGACAATTTTTTCACTCCTAAAAGAGGGCAAAGAGATTACAAGACTGTGGACAGTTGGACAAAGACCAGGATGAAGGTGATGCTGGTGGTGATGTTGAAGAAGATAAGCGAGGTAAAATCGGGTCGAGCACTTCCTTCAGACCTACAAGTATGAAATAAAGCTGCAGGCAGCATGAGGGGTTTAGGTAAACATCGTAGAGACCAATCTGATACCCAACCAAATGTATGCCTCCCTCCAGTGGTTGGATGAATTTCTACATTGGCCGCTTCACCAACTCAGATCCGCAGCCTCCTGCTTTTGCTGCAAGCCAGCCAGGAGTTGAAATTTGGCCATGGATTTCCAGAGTCTACTGTATGTCGCTCTTACTTCTTCCCCACATTGTTCCTGGCCTCGGGCCCCCAAGACCTACACCTTGCTAAAGTGCCCTCTCATAGGTTTGCATGACCAAATATATCAAGTCCAAACTTTAATATAAATAATAATTTACATTTGTCCAGTTACCTAAGGTTCACGGTTTGCTTTTGCATCAATTATCTGATCAGTGGATATACCCATTTTATGGGTGAGGAGGTTGAGTGGCAGAAAGATAAAGTGATTTACTCAAAACCACACAGCTAGTTAGATGCAGCACTGGAAGCTTTTCCATCTACACTGCAGCAGACCTTGAAAGGGGGGAATTATCTGGTTAATTTGAAATACAGAGAAGAAGAAGAGAGGTGTTGAATTTCATCCTTTTTTATAAACACTGCAAGGTGGGAAAGAAACTTAAATGAGACTCAGTATAAGTGGAGAGGATTATGCTGCCTCTAACCTGACATGACTTGGGCCCTGAGGGGCTGATTCATATAGGTTCAATAGTGCTATGGTCAACGGCTTATAGGGTATTGTAGAGTCAAGCTCTGCTAGAAATGGCAGCTGGAGCTAGGAATTCCAATGGCCTAGGACAAACACCAGCCTCTCCATGAGTCAGGCTGGGACACATTCCCTAATGAGCTATCACATTCCTTACGTATTCCAGCTCACTTGAAAGGAAGAGAGAGCCTCCACCATGCCATTCAAAGAAATTCTGCAGCTATAGACATCTCAGAAAACAAGGTGTTGGAGCCGGCCTGGTGGGGTATTGGTTAAGTTTGCATGCTCTGCTTCAGTGTCCTTGGGTTCAGGGGTTCAGATCCTGGGCATAGACCTACACACTGTTCATCAAGCCATGCTGTGGCAGCATCTCACATACAAAATAGGGGAAGATTGGCACAGATGTGAGCTCAGTGACAATCTTCCTCAGGCAAAAAGAGGGAGACTGGCAACAGATGTTAGCTCAGAGCCAATCTTCCTCACCAAAACAAAAGTGCTAATTGAGCATAACAAGATATTGTTTCCCACTGACCCTGGAGTCAATCCTTGCAGATACCAAAAGTTTTCAAAAAAATGGTGGCCCCCAAAGCTCTCCTTGCTCTACCTTGGTCCATCTCTGTCCTTCCTCCCCAGGCAAAACCTTAGAAGAGATTCTTCACAAAAGGAGATTTATAAATAGCCAATAAAATATGAAAATTTGTTCAATTTCATAAGTCATATGAAAATGAAAGTGAAATCACAATGTGATACCACTACACACCAAACAGAATGGCTAAAATGACAGGGACAGGCAATACCAAGTCTTAGCAAAGAGATGGTGCTACTGGAACACTCATACACTGCTGGTGGGAGTGTGAAGTGGTACAACCATTTTGAAAAACTGTTGGCATGCACCTTATGACCCACTCCTAGGTATACGCCAACAGAAATGCTGACTTATGTTAACCAAAATATATGTACAAGAATGTCATAGCAATTTTACTCCTAATAGCCCCAAACTGAAAGCAACTCCATGCCCATCAACAGAATAGATAAATAAATTGTGGTATAATCATTCAATGGACTATGAGAAGGCAGTGTTAATAACAGATTGTTGTGACACCACAATACAGATGAATCTCACAAAGATAACATTGAGAGAAAGAGACTAAACACACAGCCCCAAACCTGAAGGACATAAGGTGAGCTGGAGCTGTCTTGTTTGGGCTTGTGGGAGCCGCTTTTTAAATTTTCAGGAATTTTTCAGGCTGGTTGCTACACACAACCACTATTTAAAATTATATAAACATACAATTAAGTAAATTGTATTAAAAGCAAATATAATGAATACTCAAAATTTATTCCTAATTTACAAAATTTTACTACAGGTAAAATTTGCATTTTTACAACATGTTACTATTATCCATGTTTTCGAGGTTATTTACGCCTACTGTATCTGTGAGGTCCAACGTCTTTGTTGTCTGACTTTTGTCTTAACTCCTTAACATAAATGAAAATTTAAATAACATTCGTATCAGAAGTACATTCATTCATTAAGGACATGAGCACCTCCTTTGCTGAACTGGGTAATAAACAGCTATTTATTCATAGTCTGATTTTGTCAAACCATTCTTGAATTGCAACTAAAGTTTGGTTACACTATAAGAGTTCCACAATAACAAAAATGAAAGCATTCTATGAGAATCAATTGTCCATACAGAATATACAGCAAAGAGTATTGTATATTTTGTTATTACTTGTAAAGTGTGGACATGACTTCCTGGACAAAAGTCCCTTAAGAGCCCAGCAAGGGAATGAAAACAGTCTCCCGTGAAAACATATCATCGTGAAATCCCAGAATACTGGGGGAAAAGGGATGATCCTAAATGCATCCAGAGGATAAAACAGGAACAAAACCAAGAGCCAGGTCCCCACAGACGAAGGACGGGTCATGGCAACACAGGGAGCTAGAAGAGAAAGGAGCAACGCCTTCGAAATTCTGAGGGAGAGGATTTCTAACCTCGAAATGTGCACCGGACCATACTATCAATAGATGTTAAAACAGAACAAAGACATTCTCAGAGATAAGACGTCTCAGAAAGTTTACTCCATGTACCCTTTCTCAAGAAGCTTCTGGAAAATATGCTCCCCGCAAACAGGAGTTTTGACTTAGAAAGAGAAAGATACGGGATCCAGAAAACAGAGGTGAAGTGAACTCTGGGGTGATGATGAAGGGGATGCAGGGTTCCAGCTGTGACAGCTCCAGGGCCAGCTGGAGCAGGTCAAAAGTTCCATCTCGTTTTGTATAACACATTTCCTAGGGTCCTCTCCCTACTGATTATAAGAAACCTGGGACTTGTGTTTGAATGATGCTTGGGTCAAAAACTCTTGGGTTTCGTTCAATCAAAAGAAGTGCATCTTGGGGCCAGCCCCGTGGCCGAGTGGTTAAGTTCGTGCACTCTGCTTCGGTGGCCCAGGGTTTCGCCAGTTCGGATCCTGGGCACGGACATGGCACTGCTCATTGAACCACGCTAAGGCAGCGTCCCACATGCCACAACTAGAAGGACCCATAACTAAGAATATACAGCTGTGTACCGGGGGACTTTGGGGAGAAAAAGGAAAAAACGAAATCTTTAAAAAAAAAAGTGCATCTCAAGGCTGTTTTCTGGTCTGTAATTCAAGTGTTTCTCGGGCTCCCTGGAGACTTTTGTGAAAAGTGCAAAGTACTGAAGGCAGGACAGGTGGGATCAAGGTCACCAAGAAACCAGGGCAATGGGGCACATGGCCCGGGAAGGCTTTTAGTGAGCACTTATTGTGTTTCTCCAGTCACTCAGAACCAAAGTGACCACCGGGTGTTTGCAAAAGCGTCATGATGGCACTGTCCTGTGAGTCACTTATGCAGGTACCAGCCAGATGCAACAGTCTTCAAACTGAGCATGGCACAGGGCAGAGCAGGGGGTAACCCAGGAGTGGAGTGGGGCGGCGGTGCCCAAGGCTGTTGGTTATTAATCACCATTGACTGTGTCCAGCACCCTCCCCACCACTCTGCGGTAGAGGCATGGCTGGAGAGCAGAAGGACTTCTTCCAAAACAACCTTCATGCAAATGAGCTCTTCCCCCTTGCCAACAGCCACCTTGGGAGGCCACACTCGTACGCCAGCCCATATTACTGTTTTACCAAAGGTTTAGAAAAGACCTCCTTGGCAGTGGCCAACAGGCCCTGTGTCATATTCTCAGTACCCTCAGTGGAGACAAATGATCATCCTTTGCGTTTGGCGGGCCGTCAAAGCCAGAGCTGATGTCTGAGGTGATACTTAAAGGGGGAAATTTTCTTTGACCAGAAAGAAAAATTTAACCAAAGCAGTGAGGTGATGGTGATAAAGTTCTGGAGTTAAACCCAGCAGCGCGGCGGGGTAACCATGGCTAGGTTTATGGAGTGTGGATCTGGGCCAGCAGCGCTAACCCCTCACGTGCACGTTATCTTCTCTAGCGCTGGCCTGGACCCCATGCGGGGCAGGCTCACTATCCCGTAGCACAGATGAGGAAGATGAGGCTGCCCGACGTTCAGCAGCCTGGTGAAGGTCTCACAGCTACTAAGTGGCAGTGTGGCCTGGGAGCTGGCTCCGTCTGCCCCAGAGCTTTTTGTTGGGACTCGGGGAGGGGGATGAGGGACTGCTCCGAGGAGGCAGCCATGTGCAGGGAGGGGAGACGGCAGGTCGGAGGGACTGGTCCCCACAAGGGAAGGGAGAGAGCGAGTGCTGTAGGGATGCACCATGTGGGCTGGGTGTGCTCCAGGGAATCCGCGATGGAGCAGCAAGGACAGCTCAAAAGGGCCCCAGCCCCTCGGGGCGAGGTGGACAAGCCACAATGAGCAAATCACTGTGCAAACGTTCCATTTTCTTGCTTACGAGCATTTTGGGGCGCCTTGACAAGCCTACAAGTGGGGGCGGGAGGAGCCACTTTGAGGATGTTGGTTCGCCACCTCGGGAGTTCCCCGGGTGAAATTTGAAACTGGTCCCCAGACACGAAGGGCAAGAAGAGACTGAGGAAGGAGGCAGACCAGTCCAGATTGGGAGGGGCAGTTTAGGAAGCAAGGGAGCTGGCTTACGGGGCTTGTCTTGAGTGGCTGTAAGACAGGAAGATCTCCACATCTGCCTGCCAGAATCTGAAAAGTGTATGTAGAGGCCTTAACTGGGTCCAGTCTCGTATGCCACCCAGGTGGCCTCAACACCACCTTACTCTCTCAAGGCTGTGTCCTTGATACAGCTTCCACTGTGGGAACGGTGGGTGGAACGTACATTCCAAGGACGG